CGTTGCCGCACCACGCCTCGAGCGAGCGCAGCGCGGCGACGACCCCGGCCTCGCTCGCCACCGCCCCCCCGCCACCGTCGTCGTCGTCCGTCTGCAGGTCCAGCCGGCGGCAGAGACGCCGCACGACGTCTCGCATCTACGAGGAAACAGAATGCAGGACGTCACCGAACGCACCACGTCTTCGGACACGCGACGTCACTGGATGCGTGACGTCATCGCGACGTCACGGGAGCCAAAATTTACATGCCAAATTTAGGCTCGCTTTTTTAGAATAACGAAGAAAGTTAAAGGTAGCAAACGAGGCATTAACTTTTGCTCAAAGATATTTCGACTTTCAAAGAGAGCCATCCTTTCTAAGAAATAAGGAATGCCATTTCGTTAACTAGATTTCTACTTATCGTTAAAATATAATTCACGAGCCGCTACGCATACTATCAGGAGTAAGATAATATAGGATCCTATATTATCTTACTCCTGATACTATTTCGTCACTTAGACTCGAAAACGCGCGAGAATTTCGATCGCGAATACCTTCTTCGTGACAGCCGGGTCGATCCTCTCATCCGCGCCGCCACGCAGCAGCGCCACCTCTCCGCTCGTGCGCGCCCCTGCATCTCCGCTTCTCAGATGCTGCAGTTCCGCGCTCGCCGTCACCAGCCGCCGGTCGCGCTCGTGAGAAGTCATGTGCAAGCTCTGCAACTCCCTCTGTGTTGCGTGCAGCTGCTCCTCGAGGCGTCGGCACCGCAACGCCAACCCCCTTGCCGCCTTCCCCGCCGGCACCTCCTGGTGGCCGGCACATTTCTGCACCCGCACTTCGCACTTGGTTAGCTATAAAGTCGATGCCGAAAATTCGATGTTGTGCACACGCAATTCGTAAGTTCACAGAGATTCCCTACTTATAGACAAATAGAACCCTCACTTTGCACTTGGTTAGCTACAGAGTCGATGCCAAAAATTGAATGTTGTACACACGGGATTCATATGTTCACAGAGATTCCCTACTTATAGATAAACATAACACAATTTTATACAAAGCGTACACAAGCCTCTAAATAACCATAGACAGTTGTATAAGTGTTATATTAGCAACTGTCCATATGTAATTATACAAATAACTTGGAAAGAGGCGAGTAAACTTGGGAGGGATTTTTTAATATAAAAAGTTACATATAGATACTTGTGATGAACACTACAGTTCTATACTGTGAAGAATTCTACATATGCATCACATTAAACAGAACTGACTATACTCTGTAACTGGCTGAAAATATTGGACCAACATGTGCAAACATGCATGTACCTTTGATTTCAGATCAGTAATCTCCTGTTCTTTTCCTGCCACCTCCTCTCTCAGGTTTTCTACCAGAACAACCATCATCCCAACTTTTTTCTCGCTAGCAGTAGTATTCAACTGCAACTCTTCAACTTGATCAATCAAGGTGTCTCCCTGGGGTGACTGGTTTGATAACCCAACCTGCAAACACACCCAAACACATTATTCCCAGCCAGTTACATTGCACACCCCACAGTAATAAGCATTCACATATTTTAACTTTTCAACAGCCTACGCAGTAATGTCACATACATACTATATTTTAATTTAAATGCAGAAATTGTAAACACGGTCATATAAAACGCGAGCTACAATCCTGTACTATATAGTTCCAAGTACACTATATAGGTCACACACTCTAAATGTATGTATACGTTTAGAGAGTTCATACGATATAGAATACGTATAGTACGTATAGTATGTACGTATAGTATACCTACGTATATTCAGGGGCGGATCCAAGATTTTTGAAAAGAAGTGTCCAGGAAGAAATAAAGGGCACTTTTTCCTGCTTACTTTTTCTGGTGTTTTAAAAAGCTGCCGAAGGCCACTTAGGGGGGGGGGTTTGGGGAACCTCCCCCAAGATTTTTTTTAAAAATTGGTGCATTCTGAGAGCATCTGAGCAGTAATTTTGATGTCTAGAATGCACAAATTTATCAGATCCGGTCCCCCGGACGCCCCCGCAGTCCCCTCTTTGCCCATTTCTAAGTTTTTATAACGAATTAAATTTACATATATATAAAGTAAATCTTATAAGAAAAACTAGCGCTAAACAAGATTTTTTATGGAGACAATATAAGAGGTGTGTGTGTGTGTGTGTGCGCACGCGCGTGCGTGCGTGTGTACTGTATGCTTTTTTTCCTTTTTTTGTGGTAAAAGGGGGGTAACGGACCCCCTCGACCCCCACTCTGAATCCGCTCCTGATAGTAGGCCTACGTATAGCATGTATGTATAGTATACCTACGTATAGTACGTATGTATCAGTATTAGTACAGGGTGCCCAAAAAAAAATGCAACCCAAACAAGTGTTAATAACTTTTTTGATATTGATGTTAACTCTTTCATTTTTCAGATTTAAAGAGTGAATAGTTGCCAATCAGATTAGAATCAAGAGTTTTTCAAGTGCCTTGGACTCTTCGACAGAAATCATGGTCGCGTGAAACGTACTTTTCGACTAAATCATTCAAAACTGTACAAGCACGTTCAAAAGGGAATTCAATTGCCGCACCTATCCAAACAAAGGACTCATTCTAAGATTGGCATCAGAAGTTCAGGGGCACAGACTGTCAGAGACGCTCAATGCCAAAGGGAATCCTCCCACACACTCAGGGAGACAAAGGAGTGCAAGGACAGAGGCGAACATCACCTCAGTCAGGACCTCGGTTGGCCGCAGTCCAAAGAGTCGTTACGTTGGCGCAGCCAACAATTGGGCTTTCCGAGGGACAGTCTCTGAGGAGAATTTTATTCAGGATCTGCATTCGTACCCATACAGGATAGAAATTAAGCATAAGCTGACGCCAGATAACCTCGAACCCTCGGACCCTCGGAATGCCTAATGGTCTCAATTAGGTCTGATGGACTTTCTCTTAGAAATTACGAAGGCCCGAGCGTGAATTGGCAGGTCCCGGACCTCAGACTTGCCCTATTTTCAGCCGCCCTAATTTCCTATAGAATAGCGTGTGTGTTTCGCAGTGTTCAGAATAGCGCAGAATGCACCAAATTGCAGCCATTTAAAAAAAAATAGATCACCTTCGGTGCTCGCATTGCTCGCTCCTCGATTGCGCAACCACCAAAAAAGACTTCAACACCTCGCTGACCTTTTTGGCCAGGGGAAACACTGCACATATATCCGGATACGTATAGTTCATTGACGATAATCGAGAATATTATCAAACGCGAGAAAGCCCCTGATCACTCCCGCACGACTGATGTCCGAGGCGAGCAGCAACAGTTCGCCTTCGATCAAAAGAGATTCGCGCGCGTGCGCGTCCGCGCAGGCACGCGGGCGCGCATGTTTTCCCTGTCGCCCAACAGGTGCGCCTGCAGTCGGAGCTCGTGTTGGCAGCCGCGACACGCGTTTTGCGGGCAGGAGGTTCGTCCGCGCCATCCCTCCACGGAGACGCCGGGAGCCGTCCTCGCCGAGACGCTCCATCTACGAGAGAGAACGGCCGATCGTAGACACGTCTCACAGGAACACCTGTATCCGCACGGCGATTGACGACGATTCTCTACGAAGAACTCTCTCCCGATTCGAGCTTCGATTCCACAATTCACTTCCAATTATCATACGCGTGTAGCATTCATTTGCGACATGAGTATGATAATTTGACAGGGAATTTGCCACAAATGCTACACGATTTTACTCAAATACCCTGTCACAGAAATCAGTTCGGCATATTTACCTCCTCTATCCAGACTGGGGGAAGGTTG